TCCGCCCCCAGGCTCGGTGCATGACGCGTCGTCCAGGCTCGACAACCGCGCTTCGAAGGCGTAGGCCCTGTCCTTCCGGGTCTTGCTGTGATCCTCGCACCTGGGCATTCTGATTCCCAGCGTGTCGAGGACGTGAAAGTCGGGACCCGGCCTGAAGCCCAGGCCCATCCTTCCGGCGCAGTCCAACGCTCTGCCGCCGAGGATCAGTCCGTGCCAATCAGACGTCCCCCTGGCTGCGATTTTGCATCGCACGAAAATTTCAGTGTTGGGGCGACAGTCGTCCGCCGTCCTGCCTTCCAGCAGCGTGACGCGCAAGACTGCTGCCCCCTTCAGAGGAACGGGGGCTCCCGAAGCAATGCCATGCACATATTCGGGGTGGACCCACTTCTCGAGTCTCACGACCGGGAAGCCGGGATCTTCGGTACCGATCCCCAGCTCTGCAGCCCGGTTCATCATGGTTTGCGCCGGCGCATCCGTCGAGCATGCACTCGACCTTACGGTCGAGCACCTGGACTACCGTTCTGTACTGGTAGCCTCCTGGCTCGTTGTCCGCCAGGTTCCACCAGTCCTTCGGCAGATCGTCCAGGGTGGCGAACTTGTCCCGCCCGCCCTTGCTCAACGGAAGCGCGTGCTGCTGCACCGCGGCGCGTCCTGCGGCTCCTGAGACGCCTGCCTGGACGCCTGAGCTGCCTATCTGGACACTGAACGCGGCGAAGGGGTTGGACATGGAAGCCCCGGAGGGCGCGGCCCAGTTGGCAGGCAAGGCCGGCGTCCCTCCTGAGGTCGTCAGGTTGTGTACCATGTCGCAGCTGGCTCCTTTCTTGCACGACCCATTCTTGGAGAAAAAGGGGCAAACAGTGCCTGGTGGCTTTGCCGCGCCTTTGGCCGCAGCCTTAGGCTTTGCGCTGGCCTTAGCCTTGCCACCTCCCTTCCCCTTGCCCTTGCCCTTCGCCGTGGCAAAGGTTTGGTCACCCTTCTTGGCCGCGAGAGCTTTTCTGCGAAGCTCCTTGTCGTGGCTGTACGGGCAGGCATCCCCTTTCGGGCAATTCCCGTGGTCGCGAAAGTGGAAGCAGATCTTCTTGTCCGCTCCTTTGCCAGCTCCCTTCGACGCAGCGGCAAACGTCTGATCCGCGCCAGCCTTGGCCGCGGCAGCTGCTCCCTTCGCAGCAGCCTTAGCGGCGGCCTTGAGGCTCCGAATCTCCTTCTGAGCCTCGGCTAGCGCGACCGACGGGTCCGCGCTTGGAGAGCCGGTCGTGGAGTACACAGAGTGGGAAACAGCCCGGTGCGCTGCTTCCCTCTGTTCGTACTCCAAGACGACTTTGTGGCTCTCCTCCCAAGTCTGCGGCCCTCTCAGCCCGCCGTCCTTGGGATCGCCGGGCCACAACCGCTTGTCGTTACGTATCTCCTTTTGGAGATACGGGGGCATCTTGCGGAGGTACGAGAGATACAACTCTCGTGGGGTCTTCCCAAGACCCACCGCCTCAAGGTCCGCGATCGACGCCTCAAACAAAGGCTCGAATTGGTGGCCTGTGAGCTTGCCCTTAGCGAGGGAGGCATGCTCACCATCCACGCGGACTTCTCTTTCCTCCCGCGATTCCCCGAACATCAAGTGCTTGTTCTTGATGCGGTCGTACACTGCCTGTGGGTCGGAGAGAACCTCTCCCGACTTCCACGCTGCGCGGTAGGCGTTCGTGTACGTCTTCATGCGCGAGCCGCGGCAGCGCCCGCGTAGCGCTAGCAGCTTCTCGCGCGCACTCATACCGCGACAGTTGTTGGCGAGCGCGCAGACGTCCTCGAACTCCTCGTAGAACAGGACAACGTCTCGCGCGTCCGACTTGTCGTCGGTCAGCGTCGGCCACGTGAGGTCAGTTTTGACCGTCGTTATGGAGCTTTGCCCGCCCCTCTGCGCTAACGCTTCTTTCAGCGCTTCAGTTTGGGCGGCGAGTGCGGCGGCGAAATCGCCCGCCGGGTTTTGGGACCCGGTCTGCGAACCTCCGCCGTCTGAACCTCGCTTCAGGGCTTCTATCTCCATCTCCAGCGCCGCGAGCTTTGCGCGCAAAGGGGAATCGCCGTCCGTCGCGCCCAGGTCACGGGCCGCGGAAGGACCACCTGCAACCTCGGCAGTGTGCAAACCTCCACGGTCCAAACCTACCCCCAACCCACTTGCAGTCGCAGGCTGTGGGAGCCCTGGGGAACGCGGCCCCACGGCTTCAACTGGCACATCGGACGGGGAGCTCCAAACCTTCTCTTGGCTCGAGCTTTCTTTTCCCCCTAGCGCGAGGATAAGCTCCCCGATGCATTGGATTTCACGCTGAATCTCCTCTGCGTCTTCGGGGTCCTCGCCACCGCGCAAAGCCGCGACCGAGAACCTGGTCCGCAGCCGACGGACCATCTTTGTCGGATGCCAGTCCCCGCCTATCTTCGAGAACTCATCCGCAAGGAGGGTGGCTTTGGTGCTCAGGGCGTCAAGGTCACGGGAGCTCACCGTGACTCCATGCGCTTTCAGTGCGAGGACAATCCGCGAAACGCGCGTCAAGTAGTCCGCGACCGGTTCTTGGTCTGGCCGGAAAATCGCGCGCAGCTCCGCCTGCAGGCCCTCAGCGGTGCCTGGCACTGAACCTGCTGTCGACGGCGGACCGGACGGTCCCGCCGGGCGGGACCCTGGTGCCGTAGCAGGGACATAGGCAGCACCGGTAGGGACCATGGCCAGCTCCCTAGCCGCGGCGCTGACGTCCACCCGCGGCGGACTGTCGCCTCCAGCGCCCGAGGCCTGAGGGACTAGCTCGGAGTCCTCTTCTTCTTCCTCTTCCTCCTCGTCCTCGCCTTCGGCGTCGTGGAGGAGCTTCATGACCTTTCGCCAGAGAGCCGCCTCCTGCTCTGGCGTTGTGCTAACCCCATCCCGCTTGGACAACGGACGACTGCCGGTCTCCCTACGCCACTTAAGCCAAGCGACGTAGCTCATCCGCTCGGGATAGGGAACGTCACCACCCTCGATCGCTTCGAGGAGGGTGACGCCCTCGGCCTGACCTGCAACCTCTGCGGACATCGCCGCGCCTTGGTTAGCAGGCCGCAGGCGTGGCACACGAAGCGCCGCGCCTTGGTTAACAGGCCGCAAGCGTGGCACACAGTCCACGCGTCCAGGTCACGGACCGCGACAGACAAGCAAAGCAATGCTTGCCCACTCGGGCCGTAGGCACAAGAGCTGTACGTTTCCCAGAACAGCCCCCAATTGTGAAGTCGACCAGCACTGGACTTGCACTAAGCCAATGCAATCACAGCCCGGTCACGCTGTTTTACGACTTCGCGAGTTCAAGCACTTGTGCAGCTACGCCTGAGTGCGTCCGGTCGGACCGCACAGCAACCTAAGAGCTACTGTACGAAACTACCGTGCTCAAAGGCACAAGCTCGGTACTTGAGCCAAAACATTGGCATCGAAACTAATTCGCAAAACTACACATGCAAGGAAAACTACAGTACTGGTTCTGGCAGCTTAGCACATGCAACGTGCGTGCTTAGACCTGCTCACAATATGACATATAATATACAATATGCGATATACATATATATATATATATATATATATTTATTTGTATATATATTTATTTATTTAGATTTATTTATTTATTTATTCATGTTTATATTTACTTATTTATATACATACACATATCATATAATGTACGACAATATGAAAAAACAAATATAAATATACATGATATATATATATATAAACATGTGTATATATATATATAAGTATAAGTGTATATATATATATATACACATGATATAATGTTTAAAAATCTAGATAATATATAAATCTATATATATATATATATATATAGTATAAACAGAGAATATATAATATACAGTAATATATAATATAAAATCTATAATAGATAAATAGTAATAGGAAATGTATTCATAAAATAAAATTATATAATATATAATATGTAATATATAATAATATAATACAAAATACATAGTACATACGACATAATAAATATATGATACATTACATAATACATAATACATAACACATATACATATACAGAATATAAAATATATATAATAAATACATAGTACATAAAACATAAAACATAATCTAGAATTCATAATACATAATTAATACATAATACATAATACAATAATACATAATACATAATACAGAATACGTAATACATAATACATAATACATAATATATAATATATAATATATAATACATAATATATAATATATAATGTATAATGTATAGTATATAATAGGTAATGTGTAATGTAATGTGTATTATGTAATATGTATATATATATATGCACATACATACATACATATATATACACACACGTCGACCTTCACTATCGTGTGTATATAATATATATTTATATTTATTGATTTTTACTTATTTGTCTAATTTAATTATTTATTTATACGCATAGGACCCGCAGGACCAGGCGGACAGACAAGCAGACCAGAGGACCAGAGGACCAGGGGACCACAAGACCAGGGGACCACGGGACCAGAGGACCACGGGACCAGAGGACCACGGGACCAGAGGACCACGGACCAGAGGACCACGGGACCAGAGGACCACGGGACCAGAGGACCACGGGACCAGAGGACCACGGGACCAGAGGACCACGGGACCAGAGGACCACGCAGGTGGGCCGGATGGCTTATTTTTTTTTGATGCCTATTATTTTTTTTATTGATCCCTATTATTTTTCTTTTTGATGCTTATTTTTTTTTTGATGCCTATGCCTGCAGGAAGGTGGTTTCGGGCTTACGTGCATCTCATGTGTAGAAGAACAACGAAACATTTGGATATTTAGAGTACACTAACAAAGGGACCACAAGAGAATATTCTTAGTAATTATTCCGACCCCGGTTTAGGGTTTAGGGTTTAGGGTTTAGGGTTTAGGGTTTAGGGTTTAGGGTTTAGGGTTTAGGGTTTAGGGTTTAGGGTCCCAAATTTTTGGGCTTAGCGTTTGCGGGCCCTTCTGCGCGCCTTGCCACAGCGCTGTAGGGTGCCTGAGGAGTGTGGTGGGGCCAAGAAATGGAAGGCAAACGCAGGGTTTAGGGTTTAGGGTTTAGGGTTTAGGGTTTAGGGTTTAGGGTTTAGGGTTTAGGGTTTAGGGTTTAGGGTGTAGGGTTTAGGGGTTAGGGTTTACGCCCACAGTCAGTTGCAGAGTCGTGCAAGAGCTGCAAGTACCTTCGCCTGCAAGTAGGGCACCCCATCCCTACGCCCGAAACCCCAAAACCTACACCCTCACATAGTACTCCAGGGCCCAGCAATCCCCCAAGAAGAAGACGGGGTTTAGGGTTTAGGGTTTAGGGTTTAGGGTTTAGTTTAAGGTTTAGGGTTTAGGGTTTAGGGTTTAGGGTTTAGAGTTTAGGGTTCAGGGTTCAGGGTTTAGGGTTTAGGGTTTAGGGTTTAGGGTTCAGGAAGAGCACCTTCTCCGAGGGTTGAAGGTTCAGGGTCCCCCAAAATGCCCCATACCAGACACTACTCTGCCCGCCGAAGCACTTCTTTGTCTTCTCGATGAGCTTGTTCAAGCCATCTTTTCCCTCCACCTTGTGGGGGTTTCGGGTTTAGGGGTTGAAAGATACCTACACTCTAGGAGCCACTGTGCTTCTAAATGAGCCCATCAGCTACTTCTCCCTGAGCAAAGACGCCCCCCCAAAAAGCCCCTACAGTCTGTATAGCTAGGTTTGCCTGCCTGAACTTGCCCTAAACCCTAAACCCTACACCCTAAACCCTAAACCCTGAACTCTACAATCCTAGACCCTAAACCTATGCACAAGTTGTTGCTGCAACACTATACCGGCTCATGGCGGCCGAGCAGTTCCCTCAATCCCTCCAAAGCCGAAACCTCTTCAACATTGTAGAATTCAGTGGGGCTAAGGGTTTGTGGCCCATATAATGCGAAGATGGGGTGTTGTTTTTTTGGAGGCAGTGGTCATCCTGACTAACAAGGGGAGCAGGGGGGGACATGTTGACAAGTATTTGGGCCCCATGTAACCCAAAACCCGTAAACTTAGGGTTTCATCTTCAGACAAGGTGCCTGCTTCGTGGTCTTCCAGGCGTCAATGGGCATGAGGAAGAGACGGAAGCCTTCCATTTGGGTGTAGAATTCAGGGTCACCCTAAACCTTAAACCCCAAAACCCTAAACCCTCAACCCTGAACCCTAAACACCCTAGACCCTAAACAGGGTCTATAGCACTTCAAGGCCACTCGCGATGCCGCGGTCTCATCAGGCCCCGAGAAGCACCTCAACCCTAGAGTTTAAGGTTTAGGGTTTTGGGTTTAAGGGTTAAGGGTTTAGGGTACACCCCCCCCCCCCCATGCTCTAAAAAGGCCTAGAGCCCTGAAGCCTTAAAGCCCCACTAGGATGGGCTATGAGGCCTTATAATCCCCAGAATCAACCCTATCCAGGGCCTTAGGTTTAGGGTTTAGGGTTTAGGGTTTAGGGTTTAGGGTTTAGGGTTTAGGGTTTAGGGTTTAGGGTTTAGGGTTTAGGGTTTAGGGTTTAGGGTTCCCATCCTGGTAAACCCCCAAACCACATGGACGCCAGTGTCTCAGCTTCCTTTTTTGGTCATGCCCTGCCGGTCGGTGGACGGAGGCACCATGCGCTGAGCGCTTAGGCCCGCCGGACTCTTGTGCCAGCAGGGGTCTAGGGTACGGGGATGTTTAGGGTTTAGGGTTTAGGGTTTAGGGTTTAGGGCTAGGGACAGCAAAGCCTACGCACCTGCATAATCGAAAGCCCTTGAACCCACGGGAAAAAATGACCTGAGCTCTACCCTCCAAGCAAGCAAACATCAAAACGGTCTAGAACGCCAAGTCCTACCCGCTACCGCGACCCCTACACCCTAAACCCCTAAACCCTAAACCCCTAAACCCCTAAACCCTAAACCCTAAACCCTAAACCCTAAACCTAAACCCTAAACCCCTAAAGTGTTCGCTTTCATGATGGACGTTGGCATGCCACGATCGACCGGCTCTGCCGCAGCCGCCGGCCGCAAAGCCCCGAGGGCATCCTAGCGAGACTTTCTTTCAGCCTCCCTGGCTTTTTGTTTAGGGTTTAGGGTTAGGGTTTAGGGTTTAGGGTTTAGGGTTTAGGGTTTAGGGTTTAGGGTTTAGGGTTTAGGGTTTAGGGTTTAGGGTTTAAGGTTTAGGGTTTAGGGTTTAGGGTTTCGGGTTTCGGGTTTAGGGTTTCGGGTTTAGGGTTTAGGGTTTAGGGTGTATAGGCTCAACCCTGAGTGAGGGAAGAGATGCTTCTTAGCATAAGTGTAGGGTTTTGGAGCGCAAAACTTCTGAGGCTACCTCGGGGCTGAGGACGTACAGAAAGTTGCTCACGGAAGGTGGAGCGTGGACTCTTGACCCTAAACCCGAAACCCTAAACCCCAAACCCTAAACCCTAAACCCTAAACCTGGAGCTTAGGGTTCAAAACCTTTAGCGCCCAAGGCATCCGTCTCCTTGCAGGAGTCCTCCCCGAAACGAGGCCGTCCGCAGCAAGGTGGCCTGGCAAAGAAGGGTTTAGGGTTAAGGGTTTGGGGTTTAGGGTCTAAGCTCTTAGCATGCTTGGGGAGCGCATGTAAATGCTGAGGGTTAAAATCTTGCACTCCACTGCATGGGCAGAGTTGAACTCGTTTCTGGACGTGCTGCTTTGGTGCTGTAGTAGACTCATCCTGAACCCTGAACCCTGAACCCTCAACCCTAAACCCTAAATGACGCGTCAGGTCGGCCAAGGTACCCCAAGGCAAGTGCGCAGCACGACCCAGCCAGATTGCTGAGTTTGAGACCCCAAACCCCGAACCCCGAACCCTAAACCCCGAACCCTAAACCCCGAACCCTAAACCCCAAACCCTAAACCCCAAACCCTAAACCCCAAACCGGAAACCCCAAACCCCTCTCAGAATCTCCCAGGCCCCTCCCGATTCTTACAGGGCCCAGCAGCCACAAGCCTCCGGAACAACCAACGCCAAACCGGAGGCCTGGAGCTCTCCAACAAAACCTTCCCTGTGTACCTTGTCCCCGGCTCCAAGCCCTAAACCCTAAACCCTAAACCCTAAACCCTAAACCCTAAACCCTAAAGTCCCTAAACCCTAAACCGTAAAGTCCCTAAAGTCCCTAAACCCTAAAGGCCCTAAACCCTAAACCCTAATCCCTAAACCCTACACTCCCTAAGCCCTAAGGCCTTGCCGGGCCTTGCCAAGGACTCGAGGCCGGTCTCGCACTCCGCAGGGCCCGCGCTCGGCGTTGGCGGGGCGAGAATTTGTTGGTGGAGCTGGTCTTCGGCTTCCGTCTCGAGCCTCCGCTCGCTGCATCCGCACGTATGTGCATGTATATACTAGATGTACATAGACATATGCATACATATAAATACAACATATACATATAAACATATACATATATACAGATGTATTCTTGTCGGTTGAGTGTGTGTGTGTGGATGGAGCTGCATCTGTTTCGCACTGTGCAAGGGTTTCTTGCCGTTGTCCGAACATCCTGAACCTGCAAACGATGCCCCGAAGGGAACAGCCTGTAAGAGCATGGCCCACAGTAGCACTCGTTTACTGCTCGTGCCTGAGAGGGTGCTAATTTAACCCATTTTGGGAATCATGTGGCAACTGCCGGAATTCCGTGCTTCAGGGTGTAAGCGCCTCAGCCGCTGGCAAGTACCTCGGCTGCACGGATGCCGCTCCACCAGGCGCCATGGACTGTGGAGAAATACCTGCTCAAATCTTGATCGCCAGGGTGTCTCTGATCGGTAGAGGTTTCCAATCCCAAGCCCTAGACCCTAAACCCGAAAAACCTAAACGCATAAACCCCAGACCCCTTAAACACCAAGCCCGAAACCCCCCCAAAAAACCACTAAACCCTAAACCCTAAATCCTAGACCCTAAACCCTAAACCCTAAACCCTCAACCCCTTCCCCCCCCTCCGGTGGCCACAACGAGGCCGCCCTGCCTGCGGTGGGTGTGCTCTCCAGCAAAGGCGAGCTGCATGCGGTCTCCTTCGGTTTGTTGGGGTTTAGGGTTCAGGGTTTTGGGTTTAGGGTTTGGGGTTTAGGGTTCAGGGTTCAGGGTTCAGGGTTTAGGGTTTAGGGGTTTAATTAGGGTTTAGGGTTTAGGGTTTAGGGGGAGGTTCCTCGTGATTTTGCCGGTGTGGGCCTTTCGGACGCATAGGGTTGCGGAGGGTGCAGGAAGGGTGCACTTGGTGGTTAGGCGCTCTGAACTGCTCAAACACTCAAGTTGATCCACTTGTAGGGCTCATTCAGTCTCCAACGTAGACGCCTACGCCCTGAACCCTAAACCTGATTACGTACATCTATATACATATATTATATGCAAGTACAAACCCTGAACCACATACATTATACATACAATATACGTTATACATGACATTACATTACATTACATCACATCACCTTACCTTACGTTACGTTACATTACATTGTATGTATAGATGTATAAGCCCTAAACCGCAATCCTTCGGGGCGTGCCAACTCGTCAATGTCCGCGCCGGTGCCGCCTACCGCCACGAAGGAGTAGGAACCCTGAAAGTGCTGGTCGGTACCTGGGAAGGGGGTTTAGGGTTTAGGGTTTAGGGTTTAGGGTTTAGGGTTTAGGGTTTAGGGTTTAGGGTTTCGGGTTTATGGTTTAGGGTTTAGGGTTTCGGGTTTAGAATACAGCACAACACCCCCACTTTCCCCCCCCCCCCCCCCCCCCCCCCCCCCCGCACAGAGGGGTTTGTGGCCTTGTCTAGGCCTGAAGGCTGCCAGGCTCGTGTATAAGGCGGAAGGGCATTTCCAAGAGCCTTACACCCGAAACAGTACCCCGACACCTTGAACCCTAAGCCCTAGAGCTGTCGGGATTTCGCGCAACTCGATGAGTCCAGAAGCAACATATAACCCCAAAAGCCTCAAGCACCAGGCAAGGTTTAGGGCATGGGGTTTAGGGCTTAGGGTCTAGGGAGCCTCCAAAATTATCCAAAGTAGCCACGGCTTGTCGACTTTTAGACTAGAAAGTTTTATAGTCTGCTAGCCTTTTCGCCCGAGGAACCCTAAAAAACACTAAGACGCCTAAAGCTCTAAACCCTACACCACCTAAACGCCCTAAACCCTAAACCCTAAACCCTGAACCCTAAACCCTAAACCCTAAACCCTAAACCCTAGACCTTAAGCCCCTTATCAACCTTAAGTCGCCAAAGTCAGCTCGAGGTGACCCCAGGAAGAGCGACGAAGCCCGCAAGGTTCTGGCAGTTCGCTTGCGGCCCCTGCACAGCGGACCAGCCTCGTGGGTTTAGGGTTTGGGGTTTAGGGTTCTAGGGTTCAGGGTTTGGGGTTTGGGGTTTAGGGTTTAGGGTTTAGGGAAATGAGGGAATTTAGGGTTTAGAGGGTTTGTAGGGGTTTCGGGCGTAAGGGAAGGGTTTCGGGGCCTAAGGGTATTCAAGCTAAAGGGCTGAAAGGATTTCGCATGCGGGCTTACTTCAACTTTAAAGCCTAAACCCCTTCAACCCTTCAGACGGCACCCTAAACCCTAAACCCTAAACCCTAAACCCTAAACCCTAAACCCTAAACCCTAAACCCTAAACCCTAAACCCTAAACCCTAAACCCTAAACCCTAAACCCTAAACCCTAAACCCGAACCCTAAACCCTAAACATTAAACCCTAAACCCTAAACCCTAAACCCCAAACCCTAAACCCTAAACCCCGTCAACCCTTCAGCCGGCTTCTGCAGTCTCAGTGGCAGTTTGTGGAGTGAGATTTGAACCTCTTCGTCGCTGCTCACCTTGTCAATGCAAAATGCGACTGAGGGTTCCCTGTTTAGAGGGTTTAGGGTTTAGGGTTTAGGGTTTAGGGTTTAGGGTTTAGGGCTTAGGGTTTGGGGTTTTGGGGTTTTGGGGCTTCGGGTTTAGGGACCCTAAGCCTTTTGAACCCCAAGCTAGGCCTCCATGCCGAAGGCGCCCGAGCCGGCAAGCCAAAATTCCAATCCGGCGCTGTCGCACGCGCCAGTGCAGCCATAGATTCGGCGCAGCCAAGGTGGGTCCTTGAAGGGATAGGATCTCGGGTTTCGGGTTTCGGGTTTCGGGTTTAGGGTTTAGGGTCC